CCCCAAAACCCCAAAACCCCAAAACCCCTATGTAAATCGATTTTATTGAAAAACGAGTTTACTTGAGACCTAAAATGAAACTGAGATCTTGCTATCTTGCCCAAGTGTTAGTGGCGAGAGGTTCTATTGACATAACATGCTATAAATAAGCCAGACTAGCGTTAATGTATGCCTAGATCTTATCTTTCAGGGCTTAAAGTTTGGTACCTCATAATTTTCATCAAAATGCTCCAGGTTGCATAAGAATTTATTGATGAAAATTGGAGTATAGTATTAAAATTTTCACCTAGTTTTAAAAGGATCGTCGTGAAATTGATAATACAGGTTGTTGTATTCTTCACAGCTGTAGAGTTACCATATTCCTCAAAGGATTTTAGGCAGCTCTCTGTGAGTAAGTAAAGGGTACAGACGGAAAGTTATATGGCCTAGCTACACATTTAACATCAATGATGTCTTTGAAAATTTATGATCACAAGTTACTTCTTTAACTCCCGTCAGGAAACTCCAGCCTCTGTCTCGTGTTTGAAAGTTGGGATATAGACAAAGTTTTAGGTGAATTAGAATTTTTGGATGCTTTTACACCATCAGATAACAGAACCTTGGGATGATGCCCTTGTAGTAAATCACTCAACTTTCTATTAGTTTTGGGCTTTCTGGCTACGAATGAGTTCTGGCTTTGGTCTAAAGATCTGAAAGTTCTGCTTTTCTTTGAAATGATGTAGACTAAATTTGGGATTAAAATGGAGGTATAGAGGCTAGCATTTTAACAAAAGAGTTAGACCAGACCTAAGTTAATTCAAATGATCATTTCTATAAAAATCTTAAGCTGATAAAGTTTCGACGAAAGATCTAGCTGAAATTGTTAATAATAATTTCAGACATCCGATTCATTCGGGTAAGGTTTGAGTCTAAACTATTCGAGAAATGATGATTCTAAAGTAATCGTAAATCCTAGGCAGTCCTTCTCTCTGATAATGTTGAATACTTACCTACACCAGATCCTTGAGTGTCTGTAGAGCTAGCAGAGTTAAGTTCTTTATCTACCACTACTACAGATTTATAAAGAAAACTTACCTTTCTTCATGCTTTTTCAGGTGTTTCAAGAACGTCTATATTAGCTGTATTAGACAAAGAGGATCATGATGATATTTTGGAGGGTTAAGTAAGATCTGGTATGAAAAATTGCGCGATAGTTAGTCCTTTGGAGTTTTGTATTGAAACTTAGCCTTGCAATACATTGCCACATCTGAGACAGTTCCCAAGGCTTTATAAGGCGCTATTCTTCGGGCTAAGACTTGTTTCGGCCAGAATAGAGTAAATTTAAGCCAGATTTTGCTTTGAAACAGGATCTTATTAACACTGCCTTATTTACTGATGGTAGAATTCCTGTGTTTAGAATTCATTGAAATATCTCTAGCACATAAATTTTGGAAACATCGGTTTAGGATAGAGACCTCTAGATGGGACAAAAGTTTGATGTCGCATACAAATTTTGGTAATTTAGGCTCATCTTGAACAGATTTTAGCTTTACCTTTTTCCTTTGAATTAAAAATTTAAGAAGGAAGATAGGCAATTTCCGTTCCGAATAATCAAAACTCTTAATCGCAAAATCAGCTAAAAGTGCACAGTACATACCCCTTGGTTGGCAATCTAGACGTTCTCCTTGCATTCTGGTGATCTCTTTGTTGTTCAAACATGCACAGGTTAAAGTTGAGTCTTCAAAATGAGGCCGAAGTGTTATTTCCCATTTTTATGTTTTATCAAATGACTTCAATGAATGAAAATATTTGGGGTTTTGGGGTTTTGGGGTTTTGGGGTTTTGGGG